CGGACAGTGGTATGCCAGCATGGCCGAGGGGTTTCTTGATGAAAGACTGTATAAGTATAAAAAAGGGTGGTGAGAAGTGAAGGGAAACAAACACTGACTTAATGCATGCTTGGAACCACAAGCTATCCAAAATTAGGAAATACTAAGAACAGGAGCCATCTCTGCCCCCTGAAAAGGTCCTCACTCCTCACATGTTATGCCAACAGCTGAGAACTGAGTAAAAGGTTGCTGTGTTAGTACAGCAGTAGAACCAGTTGCCTTATGTCAACAATAGAAATACGCTTGAATATTTTGTTTGTTAAGACAAGTACAGATTCTGCTTTTCAGTGTTGATCGTTTTATGTATGCAAAATGAATTGCATATACAAATCTTTTAAATAAATATTGCATGGGTTCCACTAGGTTGGAACTAGATCAAACATGAATTTATAACTATACCTAGACTTACAACTATGAAGGACCATTTTTTTGTAGGATCACAACTGATGGGCATTGTTTTAGGATTGCATTCATGCATTGCACTATGCATTCCTATGTGTGTGTATTACATAAAATATATAGAGTTGCCTAAACTTTGCATAGTATCTAGTTAAGACCACATCACCACTGCTATCAGAAAGGTTTCCATTATAGGAAGGGAATGGACAGTTTCCTCCTCCCCATCCCAAAGCCTACTCAGAAGAATTGTAGAAACCTATGAAATAAATACAGGTAGTCCTCACTTACTGACCACAATTGGGACTGGCAACTCCATCACTAAGCAATGCAGTTGTAAAGTGAAACATCATGTGACCGTGCCCAACTTAGGACATCAGTTCCAGCTACGGTCATGAAGCAAATCACCCACTGTCATTAAGTGCAACATCATGTGACCGCGACTTGCAACTTCCTGAAGTACTTCCCCATTTATTTTGTTGAAAGCCAACTGTGAAGGTCGCAAATGGCAATCACATGACTGCGGGACACTGCAACCATTGTAAACATTCATCAGTTGCCAAGCGCCCGAAACACAATCGTGACTGTGGGGATGCTGTGATGGCCACAAGTTCAAGGACCAGTCATAAATCTCCTTTTTCAGCACTGTCATAACTTCAAACGGTCACTGAATGAGGAGGCATAGGGGCTGCAGTGGGAAGTCTAGGGTTAGGGTTTGGATTTGGTTTTGAATTAGGGTTAACCAACCTCCTAATAAGTCAAACTCATACTTGGGATCAGAGTTTTGTTTAAATCACCATTCCTAGTTTGTGTCTGAAAATCAATGATATAATGTTGCTCATCTTCTGAACAGGAAATGTTTGATGTTATTCTGGATGAAAACCAACTTGAAGATGCTTGTGAACACTTAGCAGAATACCTTGAGGCCTACTGGCGTGCTACACACACTACCAGTAGCACACCCATGACACCTTTGCTTGGAAGAAACCTAGGCTCCACTGCACTGTCCCCTTACCCTACTGCGATCTCTGGATTACAGGTATGAACCCATGAGTTTGCCATTGGTGGTGTGTGCCTACATATCCTATATCAGAGCCAAATGGCTCATAAGAAGACACCCATGTACTGAAACCAGTGTGCCTAGAGATTCTAAGTATGCAGTGGTTGCCCCATTTTCCATTAAAGATGAGGTTACTTCCACTAATTGGTATAAAGCATTCCATAATTGAGAAAAGAATGGGATTTTCCTGTGATTCTGATGTACACTTGAGCCCCACAGTGCTTTGGAATGTCTTCTGTGGGTTTGTTCCATTGGAATACAATCAATAGGATGAAAATATGCCTGCCAGTGAACATCATTTAATTAATTCACTAGCAAGTATTAGCAAAATACAATCAGGTATGGCAGATTTGTAAATGAACATTCATTACTTGCAGTTCATTTCTGTGCATGATATTGGTCCCACTGGGTTCAGAGGGATGGATTTCCAGATATGTATACAAGGATTGTAACACTATTTAGTGTCTCAATATATGAAAAGCCTTGACTGGATGTGTCCCTTGAAAAGCAGAGTGATCAAGTGATATAAATATTCTATTTAGTGATTAATTTAGGACTCCTTCTATGTCATTCTAATGCCACAGCCAACAAGTAATATACAAATATTGGAGAACTGATCTTAGCCAAGAAAAATAAATCATAGCTACTTCAGTTGGTCTTTATTTTTGGGAAGTTTTGTTTGAATACAGATAGAATCTTGATAATATTAAGACTGTTGTGCATAAATCAAAGGGGATGGAACATGATCACATCCTGCCTTTTTATCATGGAAAACCTGCTACGCAGGAAGCTCTTAAAAAGATAAGCGTGTCAGATATGTGCCACCAATTGCTATAGATATTCCAAATAGATTGGTTTCAGTATTGTCCCCAGGTTGACCAGCTCACAAAAGTTGTATAGTAATATGATGCTAATTCCCTGCCTCTACTGCAATTTGCCTCATTTCTTCTTCGAGGTAACACTTTGGAAAAATTGGTTCATCTGTTCTGATTTTTTTTAATGATGAATAAAATATTATTCCAATTATAAAAAGATTCTGAACATTTTTTTCCACAGGGATAGCTCAAAAACGGCGGGCCTTTGACACTTCAAACGTGGCATGTAAATAGTCCTTAATCAGAAGTACGTGTTTTACTAAGTTGGGGGGAAAATGTCTTATCAGTACAGTTGTCTATGTTTGTAAGTGCACAGAGAATGCACGGAGACCAGTGTTGCTAAACAGCTCAGCACAATGTGTGTGGCTTTTAATACATGTTACACTTCCCGTAGTCTGTATGTCAGTTGGAGGATTAAGCAAATCCCCAAACTCAGTCTGCTGATCAAAACGATGGCTTTTAATATACTCATTCACTATTTAAGTGCTCTGTTTTTTTCTGTCACTGCATGGATGCAGAAGGAAGTATTTAACTTTTGAATTTATGTTTAATTTTTTAAGTCCAGGTTCTTCACATGGTATTGTTTCTGCTTAGTAAGTGGTTGACTGTGCAAGCAATAGTTTGTGTTCTGTGGATACATGCTTGTTTTTACTGTGAAAAATTTCATTTTTCACCTTGTTTGTGTTGGCCAGCCCCTTCTCTTGAACTTTGGCCCTAAGCAAGAGCAAATGAGGTGGACAAAGCAAACTCATTTAGATGGCTTTAAACACAATTCCCCCCACCCCCACAACCCTAGTTCCATTCACTGCTAATCTGCTTTCCCAAGCAATGAATTTTAGATCCTGGTCAGTTTACAAAGGCTGTTCTATAGTATCTTATGAGGACGTTAGCCTAGGACTTTTTAGCCTGCAACCTCTTGCAGAGATGCATATCGACTATATCACATTTGTGACTGTATCACATTTAGGACCATATATAGGTTTCTCAATACAGGGCAGTCACTCTTAGTTTGTATACTGAACAGTAAGAGCTCTTGGGCCAGTTTGCAAGTCACACTAAACATGCCTGCAATGTCTGCAGGATATCTGTTAGCTAGTGCCAGTCATTTTAGTGACTCCAAAAGTTAGTAGATGGGAGACAAGATTGCTTTTGCTTATCTGTTTCATCTACTTAATTCCAGAATTGACAGCAAACAGGGAGAAAATAGCAGCAGTGATACACTGCAGTATTGGCCCTCCTTCGATGACTGTGTTTCATTTGAAGAATTTGGAGATAAGGAAGTTACTGCATAATCCACTATTGAGACATGTAATTATCAATTCATCCAGTATAGGGAGAGCAAAAATTATAGGTGAAGGTAAGTTAAGTAATACCTAGCAGGTGTTGAGCAATGAAATATTTCAGATCTTCTATAAAATGGAGAGAAAAGCAGATGAATTTAGAACGTCAATGGAAGCCCAAGAGTTTTGTTCAGGGTAGGCCTTACTTTGAAATTTTAAAATTCTTCACCAGGCATTATACCTGAGACTTGATTCTTCTTTTCGCATCACCAAGTATTTTAAATCAAGGCACCACATTCTGCTGTTTTCTTATCTCAGCTTTTGAAAGCAGACGGTGAGCCTAAATATATTAAATAGCAGTCAATTATCTGTTAAATGAACGATGGCAGCATATGCATTCTGAAAGCCTTCAGGACAAACTTGCAACAAATTCGGAAGAGTGACATGAACTTGTTGCATTCCCCCCCCCCATTTTTTTTAATGATTGACTGCTTTGCTATTTATAGAGCCAGCGTCTGAGGCATAGCAACCATTCTACTGAGAACTCTCCAATTGAACGACGAAGTCTAATGACCTTGGATGAAAACTACCACAATGAAAGGGCTCGGAAGAGCAGGAACCGCTTGTCTTCCAGTTCCCAACACAGCCGAGATCACTACCCGCTTGTGGAAGAAGAGTACTCTGACTCGTATCAAGACTCATACAAACCTCAAAGAAACCGGGGGTCTCCTGGAGGATATAGCCATGATTCCCGACAGAGGCTTTGAATACACGAACCTGGGGGAAATGTTACTCATTGGTTGGCCACCTGCTGTAACGTAGCTAAGCCAAACGAAGCATCTTGATGCTTACAGGCTGCTGCCATTTCGTGCTCTAGAAGGGCAAAACAGATAGATCAATATTTCTCAACCTCAGGAAATTTAAGAATTTAATATAAGAATTCTGGGAGTTGTAGTCCACCCATCTTAAAGTTGCTGAGGGAGAGAAACACTGAGATAGATAATGCCCTTTCCATTTAGGAAGAAATGAGTTTGCCCAAACACTTAGATGTGTTTTCTTTCCCATGTAATTGTTTCATTTCAAACTGTTACCTTTTCTCTCCGTTAGGTATAATTAGACACATCAATTTGTAACGTAGAATACCTGTTGAAGCGCATATATGATAATTTCCTGTTATGGAAATTCCAAATGACCAGTTCCAGTTGGAACCAATTTATAAACCAATTCCTGTTGGAATTTGGGTGAAATTGACTGGAAAGTCAACCTGAGCATGTTGCAGTCAGTGGAAAAAAAAAGTTAAATAAAATGAAGAGAAAGTAAATTACAAAATCATTATAAGCAAAAAATATTTTAAAAAAATCTCTAGTACTTGTTTACTGGAAGGCGAATTTATATATAGCTATAGATATGGTTAGAATAAATAATATTAGTGTATTTATTTCAGACTACCAAATAAATGTAAGCAGTCAATTGTGCCAAAAATAACGAATGAATGGAAAAGCTCAAATCCTTTCCATTTTAAACATCAGTGAATTTTTTCTCCCCCGCTTATATATTGCAGCAAACCTGTATTGCATTGATATTTTTTGCATTTGCTAGATCATAGAAAACTATTTCAGCAACTTGAAATAAACTAGAGGTGAAGACAGGCATGTTTTGAAACATGGTGGAAATGAATGCACGTTGTATAGCACAGAAGAATTGGAGTTATGCTCACTGAACCTGGAAGGTATGAACAGTGCTCTTGGTGTGTACAACTTTATGCATGAAGGGTCTTCTGCATGCTCCAAGTCTGTGATGGTACACCCAGGGTGTTAAGAGACCTGTCCATGCTTTCTCCTAGGTATACGAGAACTAGGAGAGGGACAGCTTCTCTCCTTTTCCTTGTATCATAGCTCTGAAGATGGGATTACGGCTTTTGGCTTTGTCCTAACAGGAAAACTCCAGTTCAGCTAGATGATTTGCAGAAGTATGAAAACAACCATTATTCTTTTCGGGCTGGTAATGCTAAGCCTTAATGAATAATCCGTATCAGACACCAGGATCATATCCATCTAATGTCCTGTTTTGTCAAAAAAATACCGACCTTGCAAAGAGTTAAAAAGATGTGTTCACACTAGGGTTTAATCCTGTGCATTAAATTGATTAAAAGCTGAATGTGTTTCACAGGAAAAGAGCAGTGCCTTCTGGACTTGACGAGAAAGACATCTCAGCCAGCCAAAGTACTACAGGAACAGTATTGTAATAAGGCATCCCTAAAGTCTCAGTGCTTACTTTTTCATGCACGTTCTGAACCATGATGAACTGTTCTCTTTATCGTGTCATAAAATAAGGTGTACTATTTTTCTAGTCTGAAAATTATCTCACATACACCAAACATCGTTAACCCCTTCCATCAAAAGTAGTATGCCATGATAATTATGATTTGTTGGCCTTCCACCCTGATCCTGATCTCACATGTGCTGCAGGCTTATATGGGGCTCATGCTTCTGTGGGTCTCCTCCCTCACTACTGTGAAAAAGCAGCACTGAGCACACACAGCCCTTTGTAGGGATAAGGGGTGTCCTCATTGAAAAGAATGGGGAAACTCATACACACAGGAGCTCCATAAATATATCACTCTGGGATGCTTTGGAGCTCCATGGTCGGCAAGGGAATGTCAGATCTAGAAAAGTCAGAACGTAGGGTCACACACCATAACATACCCTGTACATCTCAGATTGTTCTCAAAATGCAAGCATGGTGTTTATTTTCCACAATGCTTTTAATAAACTAATAATTACAAAGTGGCAGTAAGGAATAGAGAGAGAGAGAGAACTTTCTGACCAATGTTTTTAATGAATGATTTTAACACTCATAATTGCATTTCTGTATAAGTATGGCTGTATGAGGAACAGATGCCACCTTTAAAAAAAAGTAGAAAAAATTAGCACCAAAGTACTAGAAAGAACATACGAGAGAACTCTAAACAAATTATAAATAGTGTTTATTAAGTAAAGAGTTTGATGCAAGGAAAAAGTACACAAATAGCTATATTAAGAAGGGCTATACCAATAATGTGGAATGGATTAAAGTTATATTTGTTTGACAAAGATAAAGTAATGTCCATATAAATGATATGACTGACTGCTAGAATAGAATGAATGAAAGAATTGAATAGGACATTTCTGTACCTCTTCCCACTAAACTATGGTTAAGGTATTTTCAGATGGTTAAAGAATTGAAATGTGGCATAGGGTGGTGTTTACATACTTTTTCCTCCAAATGAGGAGTGCACACTACTCTCCAGAAATAAAGATACTTTAAATATATACACATCATAAGGCACTCAGGTAACTGGAACAGAAATATTCATATTTAACCATCAAAGCACAGAGCATGAAGTTTGTCACATATTAGAGGCCTTCATTTTAGCACAGAGAATGCCAAATCATCCATGATATTGATCATCTCTGAAGCTGTGTGCAGCTCTTCAAACTTTAGGAAATGGAAAACTCGCGTATGCATTTCCCATCGCATGCTCGATACTTGCAAAATAGACACTTTTATATGTGACCATCAAGTCTCAGGTCATGAATGTTACCTCATAATGGAGACCAGTACTCCAGCACAAATCTGCTCATCAGACAGACAGTTGGCTGTGGAGCGGCATTGCCCTTTAGGTACTTGCAGTTCAGGGGGGAAGGATTGTCAGAACCAGCAAGGAGCACCTATCCAAGTTGGCCAGACAAAAGCTTCATTTCCTGCTATATTAATACACGCTCTGTAAGAACGAATGCAAAAACAGGTTGTCGTAGAATCACCTCTGTAACTGGCTGCTGCTGAATGTGTAATCTGGGTGGAATATTTGATGGCACCGTTTGTATCAGTCTGGAACCTCCTTGGTGGGCAGGGTATCTTCAGAGCGCTAGCACTTTAATGTATGACCTGAACCTATGTATTAGTGGAAATATTTCCTATAGTATTGTATCTGAAATCAGACATTTGAAGAACAGAATTTATCAGAAAAACCTGATTCCTTAAAGACATTTAGAGTAGTATTTTTTTATTTAGGGAAATTATATTTATGACCATCTTAGGGTGTTACATAATAGATGGATTCTTCTAATTCAGCTTGTAGTGTATATTTGTCCTGCCTCAAACACAGCATTTTATTGGATGGGGGAAATCTAGATGATGACTTCTTTCATTTGTGACTCTCATGTCTTCATGCTTCTTTGTAATTTTTTGTTACTACTCAGACACTCTGTTAAGGTAGCCCTTAGCTGCAAAAGTTCAGAGAACCACTAGATGGCAAGAAAGAGGTTAGCTGCCATCTGATGTTTCTCTGACGTTTTTCCAGCCCCAGAGCTGAAATTAAGGAGGAAAAGAGTTAAAATACCTGTTTTCAGTGGCAGCTTTAGAGCTGTCCATTTGGAAGCAGCCTAGAACACAAAGAATGAGACAAGCCTTAAAGAACCTGCTCCAAGTAGGAATTGGAGGAATCCCCTTTACTTAGTATATGAAGCTTGGCTTTTAATTTACAATATTCTTTGTCATTTAATTTACAATATTCTTCATATTCTATTCTTCTTTTAGAGAAGTGTTACTGGTAATGTCCATTTTAAAAGGGCAATTGAGGCAACAGCCCTAGGCCATTTCCCCAGTAGCAATTTATGGCCCTTTAGAACATCCGCTAGCCATTGCTGAACTGATGTAAAGCTGCCCTAAAATTTGTATCACCACATTTCCAACTTGCTATTGTAAATAATGGGCTGGCTGGGCAATGTTTTTTGTTTTCCCTTGCAATAAAATACTACTGTTTAAGTAATGAAAATGAAATATGTAGATAGCTGAAGTGGTTTGTTAAGGAAAGAGGCCTGCATCTCTGCAGCAGTTGAGTAACTGCATTGACAGCAAGGGGAAATGAATTGGAGCAACTTTGGTGGAAAGATACGTTTGCCAGGGATGTGGCTATAGCTTTTGGAGAGAAACCTAGGTTCACTATGTTTGGACTGCAGGCAAACTTAATTTGCCTGGTCAAAACGAGCAGCATTTTTTCCTTACTGTGTTTTTACTGCGAGGGGTAGACAGAATTGCTTCTGTGGTTTTGCTACCAGACGTGCCAAATTCCTCGGCTGATTTTAGATGCTGTGCATCTTGACCTGGCTGGATAGGGAGCCGCGTTTGGTGCCCTGCTTCAGGAAGCAGCACCTCCAGGCCCATTCTAGGAGTCCCTCTTGCATGAAGAGCATGTACCCCAACACGTACAAGAGTCACTTATATAGTGAAATGGGCGGCATACATAAATTTGAAAAACAAATAAAAAATAAAAGTATAACAAATAGAATACCCAGTATGGCTGCGCAGCACTTTAGATTCAAAGGTAAAAAGGGGCTTTGGCACACCTGGGGGTGGGCGGGTAGCAGCTCTCTGCAGCTCTCTGCAGCAGCAGCAGCAGCAGCAGCAGCAGCAGCAGCAGCAGCAGCAGCTTTTCCTGGGATCACACAGCCGCCCTCTGCCCCACTATTCCCCCAAAAAGCACATGTACTTTCAAGAGTTGCAGACAGGTGCTCCGTGCCTGCTGTTCCTCCCCACACTTCGAAAGAGAGTTTTGCCTTCCAATTGGAAGCACTACAGTGTACTAGAGAGCCAGTTTGGTGCAGTGGCGAAGGCACCAGGCTAGAAACGGAGAGACCAGGAGTTCTAGTCCTGCCTCAGGCACCAAGCCAGCTGGGTGGCCTCGGGCCAGTCCCTCTCTCCCAACCCTAGGAAGCAGGCAAGGGCCAACCACTTCTGAAAAACCTTGCCAAGAAAACTTGTCCAGGCAGTCGCCAGGAGTCAAAAGATGACTCAAAGGTGCGCACGCACAGAGTACTACCTATGCTCTAAAAATCTAAACCTCAGGAAATAACACAGAAGCCCTCTCCGCAAATTACATCAGATTCTCAACAAAAAACTGATACGGTACAGGGTAAAAGTTTGTGGATTGTGAATTAGACTGGAGTTCTGGTATGTTTCCAGAAAGAAACTCAAATAAAGCCAGTTGGGTAATGGGTCGGGAACAGACAGACAGGCCATTTTTTCAAAAAATACAGATGAGATAATGTCATCCGCTATTTGCCAGTCAGCTCCCTGCCAAAGCAATATTTTTTCCCCAGTGGAAAAGGCCCAAGCACAAAAAGTGAACAGAAAAACAGAGGGAGGAAATTCTGTAATTAGTTCCCATAGAAACAGACTGGAAGACAGCATCCTCATTTTTCCTATATCACTGTCCTCTGTTGCTTTTCCTTGACTTCCTTAATCCTTAAAATTAAATTAGTGATTCTCCATTTGCAGTGTGGGTGTCTGATCTCAGAAAGCTAAACAGAGTTGGAATTGGTTAGTATTTGGATGGGAGTCCACCAGGAAATAGCAAGGCTATAGACCAGGCTGGACTTACTTTAAAAAAAATCCAGAAGAAGGCAGTGGCAAACCACTTCTGTATTGCTGCTTGCCTATGAAATTACCAGGAGTTGAGCTTGATTCAAATTATCTTTATGTGTATTATGCTTAATATAATTGCTAAATTGTCAATTCTGTTGGTACTTTTATTAAGTGGTGCTTAATATGCGGTACTTTTTATTAAGACCAACCAAAATATCACTAAATAAGGTACATGATTTTGAAGATGTTAAGTAACGGGTGATTGTTGGAGAGAAAAGCTGAGCTGGCATCGAAACGATGAAGTCTCTATTGTTAAAAAGGGTTGTGGTATTAAAATAGAGGAGCTGATCCTGCTATTGTTTATGGGAATGGGTGATTGGGAGTAATGATAAAGAGCACTTCCACATCAGAAATTCCAGAATAAATGCAATCTCCTATATTGCAATTAATGATTATATTTTTAAGAAAAGGAATTACTTTTCTTACTATCAGAATTACCTTTTCAATTATGGTGTAGCCTTCTTTTAATTGTCAAAAGTAACTTTTGAAAAGTACAATATCTTGTGGATATTAGGGTTGTGCAAGGCTTTGGATTCAGCTGGGAAGAGATGCTCTGGACATGTGGGAGCATGAATGCAGCATCTCTGACTCATTAACCCAACTGCATCCTTTTCCAGAATTGTGTGGCTGCTGTAGGGAAGGCATGAATGCGTTAACAAATTACAGGAGGCTGTGTTCACATTATGCATTCAAAAGAATCTCTTCCCAAATAAAAACCATTGCACAGCCCTAGCAGATAGATTTTCCAAGCCATCTTGCTACAAGCAACTTTTACTTTGTTCTGTGTTTGGGTTCAAAGAAGTAAATATTTCTGTTTTCCCCCCTTCTGAATAATTCCTTGCCAAGAGACAATTAAACATAGAAATTTGTGTTTAAAATAAACATAAAGCAGAGATGCTGGTTCACTAATTATATAAGGCTGCAAATAGAATTATTCCAAAAATTGTCCTAATTTGTATTCAGAATAGGCAGATAATCGTATTTAGAAACTTAAAAAGGGAAAGAGTTGGAGAACATAGTTTTGCGGATTGGCAGTTATCGGTCATACCAGTTGTATACTCTTAGAGCACAACACTATGCATTTTAACTCAGAAGCTGAGTCTCAGTTAGTTAATAGCATAGCAATATCAATAGCAATTCTGTTTCTAACAAAATACAGTGATATTCCCAGGCAAAATAGGACATAAAGATAAATTGCTTCCTTTATTCTGCAATCAAGACATCATGTTTTAAGTAAATGTTATGCCTCTAAGATAGATGATAATGGTGATGGAGATGGCTGGCTAATGGCCATTCTTGGACCTGTAGTCCATGCATATAATGAATCCTGTTTAAAAACCTCCCCAAGCGAATGGCTGCCGCCATCACTCCTAGATCTCTTTAAATGGGTTCCGCATTATAATTGCAACACCTCCCATGGACATCACTGCAGTTACAGTGAGTTTGGCTAAACGAACTGCTGCAGTGTTGGGCTTCTGTTTGCTAGCATGAGAGTTGCCCTTTTTACTTATATTTTATAGTACAGTCCAATGGAGCATTTTAGAATACATTTAATGTCTTGATTATATACTGCATATACATGGGCATGAAAAAGGAGACATTAAGAAAAACATTTCTTACAAATTTTAGCAAGTTCCTTTTGTGACCACGTTAAATTGCCACAAATGCTCTGAAATCAATAAATCTAGGCTAGGCTGCTTTTTTGCTGTCTGGTAGCATTATTGACCAGACTATTGAATTGCTTGAAGAGATTTGCATTTTACAGTGGATAGTTTTGCAATGGCGCTTGACATACTTGTCTTGGAAACAATATAAGGCTTTTAGCATTTCAGAAGAAAAATAATTAGTTTTATAAGCTTTTCTTCCCCAACCTGTTGGCAATCTAATGAAAGAGCCACACCAAGGAAGGAATCCACCAAACGACATTATTGTCTTAAGCTGCAAAATTACTTTTACATACTCATTTTTTTTTATTAACCTTTTGGTCAGCTTTTGCCAATGTAGTGCCTTCCAGATGTGTTGAGGATAAAACTCTCAGCACTCTTAAATAGTATTGTCAACATGCAAGCTGGGAATTCTAGACTAACACATCTGGACAGCACCATGTTAGAGGAAGATTTTTTGATGGAGGCTCCTCTTGTTTGTTTGTAATAAGTTATTTCTGTGGTGCCAACTTCAGACTTATTTGCTGGTGCCTGCAACTCTGCTAATATCTGTACAAGTAATAATCACATACAAAAGTCAGCATTGTGTTCTTTATTTGCATTCCTAGCAGGGAAAACACCAAAAACAGAAAGTTTGTCTTGGGCTCAACCTAAACTATGATGGGTGCAGGAGTTCCCACCTCATATCCTTGATCAGACCTTTCATTTAAGTCAAGAAGTTCTTAATTTTTGTCCTGTGTGTGAGCAGAGAGCTGGTTTGAAATATGGCCAGGAGAGGGAAGTAGGAGCCCTCCAGATGTTGATGAACAGCAATTCCCCACACTCCCAGTCAGTAGGAAAATGTGCTGGAAATTGTTCTTCAGTAATGTCTGCAGGGACCTGAGTTTTTCATCACTGATGCATACAGACCTTTCATTTCTTGCAATGGCTTGATGCTTCCAAACAATCTCTCTGTATGCAAATGTTTTTTCCATGCTTGACTAGCCAGAGCTCAGAATGTAACAAGTAACAAATTTTCAGTTAAGTAAATGCCTTTTCCTCTCTTTTTTGAAAATTAGGGGGAAAATAGAGTATTACTGTACTAATTCAACCTATTCAAACTATTAAAATGTATGTTCGGTTTTGAACAGTATTATTTGATCACTGATTTTCTGTGAAATGAAGAGCTGAATACAATTGTGGCTGCAATTCTATGTAAACTGAGGTTGGGAATAACCCTACTGATCCTAAGGCTGGTTTCCATACAGACTTCATGGAATTCAATGTAGGAATGATTTTGCAGTTGTAATGTAAATCCTTATTAAAACAGTATTACTCTGCTTCATATACTGATCAGGTTCCTAAAACTTTATGTACAGTATACAGATATTTCAGAATATTTAAGAAAGTGTGTCTCTGTGTGTGTCTATTTTAAGACATTTGAGGGTTGTTTATAATTTATTTTCTGGGAGAAAAGAAATCTGTCCTGAGATGACTGCCTTAGGATGCATCTCTACAAAGCTTTTGAAAGCAGGCAGAAGTGCATCAGCTGCACTTTTAATCCTAGCAAAATATTTCCCCTAGCTGGGGTGTTGCACAAATAACAGTATTAGAGAGATGTCTCCCTTATTACATGGATTATTTCCCTCTGCCTTGATTGCTTTGCCAAGTTGTATTTTCAAGATTTGATTGTTAGGGGTTATTTTTGCAACCTGTGTAATTGAAACAAATTGATCATGGCATGTACACCTAAACACTGGATAATGTTTTAGATCCATGCTGTTTATTAAAATAAACTCTGCAGCAAAACCTCCTATGCATAATTGAGCTATAACAGCTAACTAAAACTCTGCTTTTGAATTTAATTTGAAGTGGGCTTTGAAATCCATAATGCAACGTAACTCTCGGACATTCTGAAGCTCAAGGGGGTTTCACCCGGAATGGTTGTACTTGGTAGGACCTTTGCTTTGGAAGTGACATTGTGCTATCTACCTCTTATAATTAGCTTCCTTTTAATTCTTGGCTTTCTGGTTTACCCCAGTGAAACACTTTTACATCAGGTAAATAGGCTAAAGAGATTTGTGAAAAAATGCAGCACATAGCATGAGGGGCATCTTCTAATGTACCCTACTCTATCTAACTTCTATTCTGTCTTCTCTGGCTCTCCCTGTCTTCCCTCGATGAAAACTCATTTTATCCCATCTGTTTCTCTCTCCTTATTTAGGGGGAAAGGGCCAGCTATTGCATTTAGGAATGAGAATCTATAACAATGAAAAAGAAAAAGGAAGAATTTCTAAAACTATAGTCAGTGAGTAAAAATGACATATTGGCAGAGCTGTCACCTAATTAAAGAAATAGTTGCAATTATTTAATCATTCAGATTAAATTTTCATAATATATACCATCTGCACAAATTTATATTTGACTCAAACAGTATTTTTGAACCACAAAAGCTCACTTGCATAATGTTTAATTAATTCCTGTTGGGACATATGTCTAGATGTTGTGTAGCCATCCAATGTTATCTAAATGGACTTTCACTCAGGTAACAGCTACGGCTGCTTCCCCCTTCCTGTACCCCA